CACTGGTGTAACAGAAAAACAACATTGAACATCGATACTTTTGGGGGTCAGCATATTTTGAAATGATTTTGAATTTCTGAGATGAATATTTTTTTGACTCTCTATGAAAGTAAAAAGCAGTTCAGTCAGAAAGAATAAAGCCTGCACCTCTGGCTGTTTGCTTAGTAGCTATGCAACTGGGCACATTTACCCTTCTCAGAGCCTCAGCTCACTCGTCCGCAAGGTGAAAAAACGACTAGATGCCTACAAGTGTTGCTGGAAGAACAGCAGAAGACAACGGGCATGAAAAGCCCAGGCTATGTTTCTTGTTGACACAGTGGCATGAAAATGGAAGGGTTATCCCCCCACCTGCCATCTAACTTATCTTCGAAGGCACTTCTCTATGGGTAGGAGAAATTCCAAGGCACTTGAGTATGAGTAGCAGAAATTAATGACCAGGAACTTCATCTTTGATTATAAGGTCTCAGAGAAAACGTAGGTAGAACAGTACGCTTTTCTCCATTTGAATGCTTATCTGCTCATGTTTGATTAGTTTGCCGTAAATTGCAAAATAAACATGGTTTCAAGGAGCAAGAGTTAGAAAAAGGTTTCGTGTTAGGTTAGCAAATAGGTTTTGTTGACTGAACACTATCTGCTCTAACCGTTGGAACTACACTTATAAGTTCCTTAGAAGGGTATAGAGAGTTACAAATGAACCACAGTAATCACAACAAAAAAAACAGAAGGTCAAAAAATAAGACATACATTGTAAAACTCTTTATCTGTAGAAGTTACTCCAAAGAGTGCTACTCACTTCTAAAGTTATTATTAAGGTAATAAAAGTGAGTTCAAATTGAATACTGCAATTTTAATAACCAAGTTCATATAAAAGGCATAAAAGAATTATGTAGATCTGTGCAATTTTCCTGAAACCTGCATAAAACAAGGCACAGAGTCATCACTAGAAAAGGTTAGACTGAAATATAATAAAGATGACTTTTCGAGGGATAGAACTTACATTCCCTTTATTTAATAGAAATTCACTCGGTCTTTCTCAGCCTGAAACCTGTCACCCCTCACCTTCTACAGACTTTTTTATTCTTCTGGTAATTACAAATTCATAAAGGAAGCAAGATAAAAATAAATGTCTGAAAGGAAAGAAAAAACAGTAAGAAACAAGTTGAGTGTATTTCTGATCAGGACAGACCCAGAGGCACAGACCCTCGATTTATGACACCAGGGACCAGGCAGGGCAGCGAGGACTGAAAGAGTCAGTCTGTGAGTGGCAGTGACTCAAAAGGGCATGCTCATGGGCACGGCCGCAGCAGAAAGCAACCTGGGACTTCTCCCAACCCCAAATACACTTCGGACCTCAAACAAGAATGAATTCCAGTTGGAGTGTAAGTCTAAAGGTCAAAGACAAAGTGACCAAGTTTCTATACAGCACGAGAGGTATCTTCGTGACGGTGTGGAAAAGGTAAACATACTTTAAGTCGGGACACTAAATCACTAACACGGGAAAGGGAAATATCAATAAATGCTGCTCTGCTGAAATTAAGAATGTCTGCTCTTCAAAAGGCAGAACAGAGTGAAAAGAGGTGACAGAATAGAAGTGCAGGCAAGTGCGGTATAGAGGAAGCCGGATCCAACATGGCTGACCACGGCTGTTCAAATCCCAGCCCTGAGGGCAACAGGCCAGCCAGGCAGGTGTGCACACATGCCCAGATCTTAAAGGAATAGAGAAACAGAGGGAAAAGTATCATGGTGCTCTCTCTCTCATGCACGCACGTGTGCCATCTGACATAAAAAGGAAGAAAATAAATGAAGATATTTAAATTACCATCACCTACGAAGCATTTGTATCCAGATATAAATATGTAAGTAACTCTTATAAATCAAATCAAATCAATTCCATAAATAACTCTATAAATCAAATCAAACTGGTAAGTCACAGGTAAATGCGCAAAGATTTAAAAAGAATATCGGAATAGCCAATAAACATACATGAGGTACTCAGTATCGTTAGTCGACAGAAAAATATAAAAGCAGGATTACAACACATACCCATCAGAACGGCTGACATTAACAGCATAACTGCGCCAGTGCCGAAAAGGATACGCAGCTTACAACATGTGCATACGCTGCTGTCGGGGTGAAAAATTTATTCAACTACTTAGGAAAACTGTTCGGCAGTTTCTATTGGGTTGTCAGAAAAGTCGTGACACATTTTTGCATAGAAAAGCACGTCATGACTTCTGTGACAAGGGAAGAGTAAAGCAGATCAATCACATTTCCTATGACCCAGCAATTACACTCCAGCGAACGACCTGGTGGAAATATTTAGACACAAGGAGAACCAAGCACAAAGCAAGAACTTTCACAGCTGTGAAAACTGAGATGTTGAAAATACCCAACAGCCCCTCCTTTTTAAAAAGATATCTTCTCCAAAAAAAGATATCTTCTCCCATGAGAGAGAGGCAGAGAGAGATGGAGAGAAAGGCTCTCTGAACACTCTCCATGCCACGACCCACCCCTTGTCTCAGCCAGTCCGAACGACAGGAGGGTCCATGCCCAGTATGACACGGAGGTTCCAGGAGGCAAACCCAGGACCTTCCCTATGTGAGTCCAATCGTTAGCTCTGTGCCATCATCCGGCCCACTAACTAACTCTCCTTTAACAGCAGTTTGGATAAATTGCAATATAGGTATGCAAAGGAACACTATATGGCAAAGAAAACGGAAAAACTACAGCCACTTTTAAAAACCTAGACAAGTTTCACCAAGAGTTAAGAAAAACAGACAAGCAAACAAAACAAAACAAAACAAAACCCACAAATCTTCCCAAATCCCATACAGGAACAATCAAACATAGAAAAATTCTATTTTTATCAAGTTTAAAAACAGGTCTAACTAATGAGCTGCATTAGAATGAGGGATAGTGATTTCCTCCAGGAAATGGAGTGGATAGCAAATGGGGGGGAGGGGCGTGACAGGCAGTCCGGGGTGCTGAGGATGTTCTATTCCTTGGCTAGTGGCTGGTGGCGGGTTTCCTGGCAAATGCAGCACCTCTTACTTTTTTGCAGGTATGGCAGAACTGTTAGAATCTTTTATTAAAGAAGCAGTAAAGTTTTCAAAAGGATGGCTTGATCTAAGGATGGTAAACAGGTCAGTCTTTGCGGTGAGCTGGGGGTAGGGGGAGCAGATGACGACAGAAGAGTGAGGAATGATGGGGAATGACAGAACTCCCCACTGTGACTGAGCGAGTGACACTCCTGCATGCATTTGCTGAAAGCCAGAGACCTGTGCACGAGGAGCGAATTTCGCTGTATACAAACTATACTCAAGAGAAAATAATGTGGCTAGAAAAAGGCATGAATTACTTCGATGTCTGTTTATGTTTGTGGAAAGTTAATTATCTGCGGTATTATAACCTGCACTTTTTGTTGATTAAATTAGAAATAAATTAAATGGTCTATCTGCAAAATATTTGCTTACCCTTGTATACACAGACACTTATGAAATCAGAATGAAGAAATTTGGGGGAAAACAATGATATTCATTTTGGTTTTACTGGGACAAACTTAATATTAGGTTGTTGGGAAAATCATGACATATTTTTCTATGCAAAAATGAGTCATGGTTTTCTTAACAACCCAATAGAAAAACAGTAACAAGCTCTGGGTTATTCCTTTTTGTATCTATGAATGAAAGTAGTTGAGGAGGGACCAGCAGTTAGCGTAATGGCTATGTCATTGAACTCCCATGTAGTTGATGGCAGTTCAAGTCCCAGACCCGGTGACTTAAACTCATGCCGGGCATGTGTGCATGTGTGCCCAAGATCCTGAGAGGAGAATGGAGGAGAATGGATTGTGGCATGGCCATCGCCCCTGGGGAATGATTTCTCACTTTCTATCTCTCTCTATTTCTCTCTCTATTTCTGGTGAGCACACATATCCTATAGCAATAACCTCTCCAAAAAATAAATAAATAAATAAATAAATAAATAAGAAAGAAAGTAGTTGAAGAAACTTAATGATAGGGCATACTTTAAAAAAAAAAAATTACTAGAGGGACCAGCAAATGGCATAATGGCTAGGTTGGCGGAGTCCCAACGCAATGGCATAATGGCTATGTTGCTGGACTCCAACGTAGTCAACCATGGTTTGAGTCCCAGACCCAGTGGCTTAAACTCATGCAGGGTGCATGAGTGTGTGTGCCCCAAAATCCCAAGAGGAGAATGGAGGAGAAGGGATTGCAGCATGGTCCTCCCCCCGCGGGGTGATTTCTTGACTTCTGTCTCTATCTCTTTGGCAAACACATCTCTCTCTTAAAAAAATTATTAGAAACAAAGTAGAAGCTTTTAAGTTAAAAATTCTATTTACTTTTAAGGGTTACTTTATATCTTCTCATATTCAGCCACTGAATCTAGAAACTAAATATGTGTTTTAGAGCCATAAATTTCTGGGGCATTCTGGGAAGTTGTCTGTACTGGATCTCAAATTTTTCACATTTATTTAAGGTCACATTATTCTAATATACCCATGAACATGAAAATATAAAATTAAACTGAAGTTCATTGTGTAAGCAACATAACCTCCCCCTAAAAATATAGTAGATAAGAAGGTAGACAGATAGGTAGGTAAGACATTACCAATGCTACTCGGAGAAGAGAGACCATGAAATACCCAATAAGCAACAAATTATTAAAAAGAACTTTTAAGAAGCAGGGCAAATATGAAATATCATTTACTCACAGAAATTTAAATGTCTTACTTTAAAACATCCAAAGATTTATCTTACACATACAGGTAAGTCCTAGGTATTAGTTAAAGAAAAGGGTCATTATATTTTTGTTGCCTGCGGTCTTTTAACTCATTGAAGGTCCCCCGTGACCCCTGACCCCAACTTGGAAACCCTCCCATGTTTTGAAACTTAAGAGCAAGCTGGATTAAAGTAGGCAATGCAGCTGCAGTTTTATAGCTACTGGCAAAAAAAATAATACCAACAAGAAAAACATCTTACCACTTGTGCCGGAACTTGTTCCATTTTTGCAGCAGGAGTTCCTGGTCGTGGGTAAAACTGATTAATAAAGAGACTTGGAAATTTGTACTCTTCAACGAGTTTCACTGTTTCTTGAAAATCCTGATCCGTTTCTCCAGGAAAACCACAGATGATGTCTGTAGCAATAGTTATTCCAGGAACTCTGGAAAATAACAAGATAGCAAGGCAATAATGTAAAAAGTTGACTATGCCCCATAATTATTCTATTTAGCTTATACTTTTAAATACTATTTTTTCCATAATGAATTTGTTTTCGGGAAAAGGACACTTGAAAATAGTTCTAAAGAGCCCTTGTCATCCTCAGACACCCATTTTAAATTATTTTAGATAGTGTTCCTTTTTCTAGACTTAAAAATAGATGTTTACTCTGCTATTTCTATATTTAGTGATCTCAGGCAATATTTAACAACTTCTCTATCATAATAAATGATAAATTTTAAGCTACTCTATCTCTAGCCTCCCAACATAATCACTGAAAAAATTTTCAGCTAAATTGATAATACTTCCATTGGTATACAGATACTGTTTCCTGCAGAGCCAACTGGTATGCCCTCATTACATTTTGCTTTTTTTCACACTTAATTTTTCCTAGAGTAAATAATTACCTCTCTGTTTAAAATCTGTTTAATAGTCTATATACATATGCTAATGTTTTCCAGAAGCTCCATCAGTCCTATCAAAACCCAACACTATTTTCTTTTCTTTTTTTTTTAAAGAATTAATTTTATTTATTCATTTATTTATTTTAATTTGATCAGAGAGAAAGAGAGAGAGAGAGAAAGTGAGAAAGTAAGCCACCAGGTCTGGGACTCAAACCTTGGTTGACCATGTGGGAGTGTCCAGTGCCTTGACCACCATGCCACCTGCTGGCCCCACCAACACTATTTTCTAAACATCTAACGTCTTCTATAATTCGCCAGTTCTTTTCGCCCATTGGAAATGCCACTCCCACTTCTTCAAGTGTGTGTTGCCTTTCCAATGAACTGGCTGCCATTCTTGAGTGTTGCTCCGTAGCATGTTTTTTCAGTCCCCCTCCTCCTGGATTCTGTCTTCTTAAACTGTGATGAACTCCCTCCTTCTGGTAGAGCTCGCTTTCAGAGGCTTCATCAGAAAAAGTGCCGGTGGGAAGTTAAGTCGTAGTGCGTCAGAACATGTCTTACACTACACACTGATGGACAGTGTGGTTATGCAACAGCACCTCGTTGACAAATACTATCCACCGGAATTTCGCATTGCTCTTTTGTTGATATCTATTTTTGAGAGCTTGCAAGTTTGCTAACGGGATGTCCATATTTACTCAGATATACTCGTCTTTACAACGTAGGCACCCCTCCCACTTGCTTTTTGAAAGGTTTTAGAATATTAACTTTGAAATCAATGTTTAACACTTCATGATAATATTGCTTGGATTGGATCTTTTAAATCTTGGTACAAGGTGTAATATGGAGGAGGCTTTTTCCTTTCTTTATTGTTTTCCCTCAGCGATTCCACTTGTTTGTTGAGATTACTAGATTGACCACTGAAGCTTTTTCTTTTACTTGCCTTCTTTGTCCTTGTGTTCTATTTTTTCTTTTAATTTACTTAAGCCTATCTTCCAATTCTTCTGTCGGAAGAAAAATGCAATATTACAGTTTAAGTTTTCCAGAGCTCCTTGTTAGTCTTGAATTTTCCTTTTCACGGCATCCTGTTCTTGTTTCAGAGATGTGACATCTTTTCCTACTTAGTGGAAGATAACAAAGGCTTCTGCGATTTTCTTCTGCTAACTGCAATTATATTTATTTCCTCCAGATTCTTGTATCCGGGGCCCTTTCATTCATTTAAGATTTCGGAGCACACACAGTAGCTCTCACGGTCCCATCATATTTAAGAGCAAAGCCCTAACAGCTTTTTATCAGAGAGAGATTGAAAAGCAAGCAGCCTTTGTTTCTGAAGGTCCAATGTTAGCATCTTGCAAGTCATTTCTCTGCGGCCATTTGGTTCCTCCATCAATATGCTGTCATGTCCTACTGTATTTCAACAGCATTCAAAAACGTGCAGACAACAGAACATTTCAAGCCACAGAGTAAACATTTCAAACATTTCGAGTCACAGAATATCTGTATTCATTTCCCTACTACATAAACGCAGCTCTATATGGAAAGATAAAAGTTTACCTAATTAAGGTATATAAGATATTCTGGGGCATGAGAAAAAACAAAGGATGTACCAATGAGGAAATTCAAATGACTGGATTTTCAATACAAACAGCTTCATAAAAACAACAGCTTGGTTTGCATGCAACTCTAATGCCTGTGTAAAAGATGCATGGAAATTTTATTTTCTAAAAGTACTTCATTTTGGCTTTCTATTTCATCTTACCTAGTTATTAATGTGGCTGTACTTCAATTAGTAAGACCATTTCAAACATCATAACTTTTCTCTGTTATGTCCAATAGAAAAACAGACAATATTCATACAGAAAAATGAAATGGTATGCTTTTAATTTTTAAAACAGTTTTTACTATAATATCATTTTATTCTAATATTATTTAAGACTAATCATCGAGATCATATTTGGAAATCACATGCTTCCCCACAATTATAGATATTAAAAGCCATTTTTTCTACATGGAAGCTTGTGTAACAGAAAAGTTATGTGAACAATTCCCAATTAGCTGGTTTAATATGTGCTTTTAACTATGCCTGATCAAAAGAAATCCACAACTAAAAATAAAATTAGTGATCACAACAGATGATGACATAGTCCATCTCTCCCAGGAAATTAAAAAAAATAAATCCTCGAAACTGCCTGTGAAATCTGCAGAAACAAACTGGTTATTGTTGTACAATACGACCTGGAATGAAGCTGGCACTCGATCATGGGGTATTCCCAAAGGAAAGTACCTCACTGACCCCCCCCCATTCTTCTTGATCCATTACAGTTGAGCTCAAAATTATGCAACATCTGCTTATTTTGGCCTTAAGGCCCACAGAGAAAACGAACAGACAGACCTTTGTAAGGGTAAGGAAGGGGATAGTCAGTGCAGGATGCATCTGATAATCTACACAAAATGGTAACTGATAACAGAAAGGGGTAAGCCATGGTGAATTACTGACTTTTGCTAGTCAGTATGTAAAAGTAAAAGCAGTTTGATTGGTTTCAAAATACATAAGGCTGTAAGCTGATTGCTTATAAATGGTTTCTAAAGTAGAGGCTGCATTTTAACGTCAGACGAAGCTCATCTATCTATGCATTAATTGCACATATGCAAACGATGCCACATACATTCTCAAAAATAATTTGTCCCCTTAGGTGAACAAACTAAAATCTCATTTACACTTTTAATTTGCCTACTAAATAGTTGTCTTTGGTATATGGGAAAATCAAACATGTCAAAGTGGAGCAAATTCTAAGTTAATAGGCGATGATTTAAGTGGCGAAGAGGCAATGATAAAGGTGCAGAACGGCCTATTAATCCAAACATTTCAGACCGTAAATCGGTGTAATGCCCTTTTGGAAACACTATGGATAGTCAAAATATTACATTTTTAAAAATTATAATTTCCATGAACTTATCGAATCTGTATGAAGGAATTTTTAAGTAGTATGTATCCTTAAATATTTTTAGTTTTTTTTTTATGTCTTCCATGAGAGGAAGATACAGAGAAGGTGAAAGAAGGAGACAGAGAGAAAGACACAGTCACTCCCAACAGGGCTGTCACAACCACGCATTCACAGTGCCCACCAGCCCGGACCATGGGCATACACCCACATGACCAGTGTGGACAGGGAGGCCCCAAGATTCACACCAGGGACCTCTCCATAGTCTGGTTGCATTAACTGAGTCACAGTCTGTTCTACTTCTATTTTGAAAACTTTCTATATTTATGTTTTCATGGGAGTTTTAGAGAATAATTCAGATTGAAAGATGAAGATGAAAAAGCTCAATTTGCTTAAGTAACTGTAACACGTTGAAGCACTACTTTTTCACTCTTATGTTTACTGGCAAAATGAGTTTACAAAATAACTTGGTAGTAGAATAAGAAAGATACCAATTAAGTACCTGACCCTGTCAGAAGCACCGCTGTGATCAGTTATGGAAGACCCTCAGGGACATGTAAGGAAAGCAGACTCTCTGCGAGCCCTAGGCTAGGATTTACAGAAACCCTAAGTATTTTAAGAGATAATTATTTTACCTTGAATAAAAATACACGCATGGACACAGCCCACACTTTGAAGATTTAAAGCATACTACTTTAAAATGTGCTTTAATTCACCTGAAGATGTTCACTTGCAATTTGATGTTTCTCTGGCAAAAATATACAAAAGAATGATTCTAGTTCATTCTTTAAATAAAAAACAGCACGGGCTTCAATTTCCACATGTAGAAAAGTAGGGCTAATAGACATGCTATTTATCATTGAAAGAAAGAAGAATAAAAAGACAGAAAGTGAGAAAGAGAGAGGGAGAGAAAGAGTGAGAAGAAAAACCATTAAAGGACTAGGCCCATCAAAATTAGTAAGCATAAACAAAACACATGATTAAATTTTCAGTCCAGTGGAGACTTATTCTAAGACAATTTTATCTGACTTTTTCAGAGACATAAACTAGAGGTAGGTAGAAGAGAAAAATATCTTGAACTGAATAAAAATAAAAACATATCTAACACATGGTATGAGCTAAAGCAGCGCTTAGAGGGAAATGTATGGTTTAAATCTCTGCTTTAGAAAGACAAAGTCAAGGGGTGGCCCACAGAGCAGTGCTTGACCACTATGTGGGAGGAGCCAGATCCCACATGGCTGACCAAGGTCTGAATTTTGGCTCTGGGAGCTTGAAAAACACATCAGGCACAAGCACCCAGGGTCCAGATGGGGTGGAGAAATGGAAGAATAAAGGAGGGCAGTGTGACTGGGCCCCTTTAGGGCCTCTCTTTCTCTCTTACCCACATACATATGTCCTCTAGCATTAAAAACAAAAACAAAAACAAGAAAATATAAAGTCAAAAATCAAAACCTCCACCTCTAGAAGCTAGAAAAAAAAAGAGCAAATTAAGACAAAAACAAAATAATAAGGATAAGCCAAAAAAAATTCAATGAACTAGAAAACAATAGACAAAAACCAGTAAAAGTAAAAGGTGTATCATTGAAAAATCTGAATATAAC